CACTAGAAGTTTCGGAGAGTATCGGGTAATACCGGATATTACCGATAAATAATATATAGGTGAAAAATGTTTCCGGGGCTATTAAATTATATATAAAAGGGTCTAATATTTATTAGAAGGGTTTTATATTAAATTTAATACCAGCGGGGCTTAAAAGGCCAAAGCGGGGAAGGAGCATTGGGCCAATAGGAAGTTCCCCTTCCTTTTGTGTGTGTGGGGGGGGGCAGGGTGAATTGGAGTGGGGGAGGAGTCCAACTCCTCTTCCCAAGGCCGATGCCCCAAGGAGGGACTTTCCCTCCTTGTTGGTTGTCCTCTACCTCCCTAAGGGGGCTTTGTTGTATGAGAGATACATGTTTTGGAGCCTCCTCTAGTTCTTTTAGTTTTAGTTCTAGTTGGTCCAAGTTGACTAATTAGAGCAAGGTATAGTTCCTCCAATCCTCATAATTAGAAGCCCGGTGCGGTTCTAATCCCCTCCCTTTAATTATCCAATGATGATTAGCTCTGGACGGCGAAGCGCTACCGGATTGTGAAGGTTGCACGCTTGCAACCAAGTAGAGAGGTTGTGCTTTCGGACTTCGGTTCGAGGGACTGTTCTTGGGCAGATCGCAGGATCGTTCATCGACGGTTTGAGGGACTCCAAGTATGATCTACATCGACACGTTCTTCTTCCGCTGCAACTCGGTGATGATAACGATCGTGATCCCAACTCATTATGCATATTTATATTGATCTTGGGTGTGCGTAGGTGCAATTTTTTGTTTTATGCTATGTTTCCCGACAAGCAGCAGGTTCCAAAGTGATTCCGGAGTGGCTCAATGCACAACTTTTAGAAACATTCTTAGGTTCCTCAGATGGACAAAGGATTTGCACCTCGTCTATGGAGGATATGAAGAGCTCGTTGCAAATGGTTACACAAACACTAACTTCATGACTGATATAGATGACTATCAGGCTATGTTAGGATAATAGTTTGGAATAGTTTCAAGCAAGAACGCTATTGTGGATTCTACAGCGGAAGCTAAATATATTGAGGCTTCAGAAGCTTCGAAGGAGCAAGTCTGGATCAAGAAGTTTCTTGGTAAAGATAGTGCGACCCCAAGTGCAATGAACTCAAATGGCACTATATTGTGATATAGTGGTACCATTGACCAAGCAAAGGATCCAAAATCACACATGAAGACTAGACATAGCAAGCACAAGTATCACACTGATTTGAATGTGTCAGACCCGATGACGAAGGCTCTACCACAAGCAAAGCATGAGCCACACCGGATAGATATATGTGTTAAAGAAACTATGTAACTAGATTACTGACTCTAGTGCAAGTGGGAGTCTGTTGGAAGTATATCCTAGAGGCAATAATATTGTATTATTATATTTCCATATGCATAATTAAGAGTTTATATTCTATGCTATAATTGATATGATTCTGAGATGTGCAATTTAGTGGAAAACTCATATGCACATGTGGAATGCTAAATGATATAATAAAGATTCCTAGTCTCACCTCTAAGACTAGTTCAAATGTTGTTGGTGATCATGTTTTCTAGATCTTAGGATATCATTAATTGTAATGGTAGTCCTAAAAAACTTTGAGAATATGACGTTAGAAGAACGATTGTATTAAATTGACCCAAACTTGTTTGTTATACTTTGAGATACAATCGTCAGAAGTCAACTGCTATAACATGGAGTGTTAATGTGTGATGTAGGTCCTTATACCATGAGAGTATTGTAGTCGCTTCTTACTATACGATGAACTTTGGGGTTGCTCAAACATCATCTATAACACGGTGATCATAACAACAACTTACAGGTTCAGTGGAAAGTTTGACAAGGGACTAGATAGCTCAAGAGTGGGATTTGCTTCTTCGACAATGAAGAGATATTCTTGGGTCCCTCTCGGTGTGAAGGCATCCATCATCGTCTGGCCAGGCACAGGTGACTAGCTCATGGGGATGCCGAAACATGTCAACGAGAAAGAAGAACAAAACCAGTAACGGGGAGATCGGTATAATGAGCATGCACATGACTCAAGAGCATAGCAATATATCTCACCTCGGGTTTTGTGAAGTATCACGAAGCAAAGGGAATAACACATGATAACCAAAGGTTCACAGTTCCGCTATCGGTCATTGAACAAAAGGGGTTTTGTTCATGTCTATGTTTTACCAAACTTACATGGTCACTTTTTCACGTAATCACGATCTGCTGAGTGTTAGTAGGACATGAGTAATGAGAAAATATTTGTGAAATAGTTTCATTAATATTTGAAATAGTTTCCAGAGGAACCGGAAGCGTTTTGGGGTCACCGGTTTCGAGGTTTATCGGGCAATACCGGATAATACAATAAATAATATATAGGTGAGAAATGTTTCTAGTGATGTTAAATTAATATTAAAAGGTTCTAGTAGTAGTTAGGAGGATTTTATATTTAATTTAATATCAACGGGCCTTAAAAGGCCAAGTGGTGGAAAGCATATTGGGCCACTTGGGCCCAATAGGGGTGGCGCCCCCTTTTCCTCACGGAGAAGGAAGGGGGATGCCAAATTGGAGGGGGACTTCCCCTCCTCATGGATGGCGCAAGAGGAGGAGATCCTTTCGCCTTGTGGCGCCCCCTCCTCTCCCCCCAACCTATATATACTAGAGGTTTTGGCACTTTTGGACCCACAATTTTTGGAGCCTCCTCTTGTTCTCTAGTTCTAGTTCTAGTTGTTTTAGTTAGAGATAGATCTAGATCCTCTATAATCCTCATAACTAGAAGCCCAATGTGGTTCTAATATCTTCCTTGTAAATCTCCAGCAACGATTGGCTCTGGACGATGAAGCGATGACGGATCGTGAAGACCATACGCTTGCAATCTGTGGAGAGTTCATATTTTTAGTCTTCCGTTCGAGGAATCGTTCATCTATGGTTTGAGGGACTTAAGTACGATCTACACCGACTCTTCTTTCACTGCAACTCGGAGTTGGTAATGATCCAATCCAAACCACATCTTCATAGTGTTCCTGGTTGATCGTAGGGAGAATTTTTTGTTCTACTACGTTTCCCAACAGTAAATGCAACCGATATTTTGGAGGATTTTTTTCATCCACTCAAACCACTGGTAGCAATTCTTTTTCTTACCTTCCATATCAAACACGTTTTTATGCAAATTATTATAGGATTCAATACGATACGAGACTCTAATCTTGTTTTGCTTTTCATTCTTGTGTTTTGAGGAACACTCGAACCAACAAAGGCTCTAGAAGTTCATTAACACTCAAACAAACTGGTGTTCACTAAAAAGGAAGAGATCATGTCTTTATATAATAAAAATGATGTAGTGAAAAGTAGGAAAATATTGCTCGGTATTGCTACGTTTACAAAGCCAAAATATGTGCTAACCTTGTCCAAAAAGAGATTGACGAAATTAAAATGCTCTTGTTGAAAGTTAACCCATTCTCATCAGATGACTTATTAATTGCATGATCATGAAGAAGATTGAAGTTCAATGATGACAATTCACAGTGCCTAGGTTCCTGCATGGATGACAAAAAGCGAACGAAGAAGCCCATCGGTTGGCTGGAGTGGCAAACTCTTCCGAGGTTTGACACTATGTTTGGTTCACAAACCCTCTAAACAATCTTTGTATTCCTCATTTTGTAACTGATCAGTAATTCATGTTGTTATCTCGAAAAAAGCGAGATTGCAACATCGAGAAAGCATCATGTTACAAATATGAGCTCAACATAGTTAGGGCTTCTTTGATTCAAAGAAAAAAATAAGGAAATTTTTGGAGGATTTGAATCTTTCGCTTTTTCATCATATGCACATAATTTGATTCACGTGATGAAATCTTTATGAGTTTTTATTCTCAGGGAGGCATTGCATTATGTTTTGGAGGAAAATTTCCATCCACTCAAATATCCTGTTACAATTCTTTTGTTTTTCTTGTGTTATTAAACACTCTTCAATGCAAATTCATGAGGGATTAGACACGAGATGACACTCTAATCTTGGGGTTTGTTCTTCATGTGTTCTGCAGGTCACGTGGATCAAAGGGACCATGGAAGTCCATGAAAAAGATGAGAGACATTGTCTTTCTAGAATAGAAATAATGCAGTGATAAAAATAGAGAAGTTTTTATCCTAAGGAAGGCATTGCATTCTGTTTTGGAGGAATATTTCCATCCACTCAGACATCTTGTTAAAATTCTATTGTTTTTCTCGTGATATTGAACACTCTCCAATGCAAATTCATGTAGGATTCGATGGGAGATGACACTCTAATCTTGGTGTTTTGCTATTCGTGTGTTCTACAGATCACGTGAATCAAAAGAGACCCTAGAAGTTCATGAAAAAATGAGAGACGTTGCCTTTCTAGAATAGAAACGATGCTGTGATAGAAATATGAAAATATTGCTGAGTACGTCTAGGAAGCCAAAATCTGTGATAACTTAGTCAAAAACATATGAAGCAAACAAAACTGCTTTCATTGAGAGTTGAACTCAAGACCTCCCGCTTACTAAACGGGTGCTCTAACCAACTGAGCTATGAAAGCACTGCGGTTGTGTATTTTAAAATAAGCTATATTAGTTACTGGGTGAACTAATTGCTCTTGGATTGTTGTTGTTTCATCACGTAATGGTCGCTCTATCTAAATATGATGGGTCTGATAACTCGTTTCAACAAATTAGAGGTGTTCAAACACATAACGAGCACATGATATATGAATTGAACATAGGAAAATACAACTTTTTCATGGAAAGAAGAAGGTGCGCAATCCATTTCAGAAGTTTCATGTTCGTAGTTCAAGCGAACTGCGTGTTTGCGTGAGCGATTTTTGACTAAAAAGACTTCCAGTAAAGCTCTCGGCATATCATCAGTAGATTACCAAGGATAAGAACATCGCAAAGGTATTATCAAATGAATCAAAGAACAGCAACCCGTCTTGCCATTACAAGTTTAAAACTTATCAAGAAGGCCTAAAATGACAGTAGCATTGTTATTTGGCATTTGCTAAGCGCTAGAAGAGTTCGCTGATGCAGTACGAACATCGGATCGCGCGACGCCGCCGCCGCCCCGATGAGCACCGCGCCCGAGCTGAGCACTGCCGTCAGAGCCCAACCACGCACGGCCACCGGACTCCTGCTTGCTCTGCCAAGACTGTTCGAGTGTGCCGACCGTGCCGCCGCTGCGCTGCTCGGCATCGTCGCTGTTGGACTGCGAGGCCGTCCACGTCCGGTCGGTGGAGTCGACGGAATTGGGCTCCCACGAGCACGTCCACGGGTTGCCGGCGAAGCTGTTGCTCCCGGCGGACTCCTGCAGCTCGGCCTCGCCGCGGATGTCCCGCACGGACACGTACTTGTGCAGGCTCGGCTCCATGAGGTCGTCCTTGACAACGACCTCGGACTCGACGACGTGCGTGCCCGCCGCCGCCGCCTTCCCGGCGCTGTAGCAGCTCACGTTGGCCGACCCCTTGTCGTCGGCCGACCGGTCCAGCTCAAAGCTCCTGTTCTCCGACGGCGAGGAGTTGAGGTCCGCGACCGCTTCAAGGATGGAGCAGGCTTTGGACACGCACGCCGGGAGCGAGAACGCCGGCGCCGCCACGGCCGTGTCGCTGGCGTTCTGCTGGTGATAGCTCTGGATGTCTTCGAGGAGCAGGGAGGCATAGGAGTTGCCGTTGTGATCGAAGTCGCGGGATGACCGCCTCGACGACCGGCCTGCCGGCCCGGCTTTCTGGCTGGCAACGCTCTCCGACACGATGCTCACCGTGTGCGTCGCGTTCATCCTGGACGACGGTGCTTTTGTCTCCGACGCCATGGCCTCATTCAGGAAGGCGTGGTCGAAGTCTCGGGACGACCTCCTCGACGACCGCCCCGCCTTTGTGCTCCCGACGCTCTCGGCCACAATGTTCACCGAGTGCGTCGCGTTGATCTTGGAAGACGGCGCTCTGGTGTCTGGCGCAACGGAATCCTCCACGAAGGCGAAAGAACTGCCGCTGTGGTCGAAGTCCCGCGAGGACCGCCGCGACGACCGGCACCCAGGCCCCGCCCTCGTGTTGTTGACGACGCTCTCGGCCACAATGCTCACCGTGTGCGTCGCGTTCATCCTCGCGGACGGTGCCTTGGTGTCCGGCGCCACGGCCTCCTCCGTGATCTCCGTCTTGTCCTTCGCAGTCTGGCAGCGCTCCCCCAACCTCTGTGAAACGGCGGCGACACTCTCGATGGGTTTCTGCGCGCATAATTGAAGGATTTGAGCAATTTAGTGGACAAAAATGATGGCTAAAATTCTCTAAATACTGAAGATTTTATATTTTTATTGATCCGTACCTTTTGATTTTGGGGCTTGCCGTTGTTGGTGGTGTGGTGGTTGTTGGCCAGTGCGTTCTCGTCGAGCTCCGACATGGGGTTGCGACGGTACGGCGAGTTATCGGCCTTCCTCGACGAGCTTCGGCTCAGCGACGGCCCGTGCGTCGGTTGCACCCCGGCGTTCTCATTCGCGACGGCCACCGCCCTTGCGGGGGAGTTGGACCTCAGGGTTGGCGACGCGTACCTCTTCCCAGACGGCGCAGCCTTCACCGGCGACGGCGCGCGCCCTTTCTCTCGGGCCGGGACCGACACCAACTTCCCGGGCTGCCGCGCAAACCGCTCGACGCCCACGGAGCTCGCCGCCGCGGTTGCACCCTCGCCGCGCCGTCCGGGCGAGCGGCTCACTCTCCTGCTCCCGCTCCCGGCACCGCTTCGGCTCTCGTGGCTGGCCGACCGCTTACGGTCCGGCGTCCTCCGGCGCGGCGAGGGCCTCGACGCGGCGGCGCCTCCGCCCAGCCTGTCCCAGTCGCACTCGTCGTCGACGCCCCCAGCCCTCCTCTCCAGGTCGAAGTCGTAGCTCCTCTTAGATCCAGAGTACCTCCTATGGCCCCCGCCGCTCTCGCCCGATGCAGCCGCCTTCCCCGACGCCGACGAGCTCCGGCTGAGCCGGCCGCACTGGATCAGAATCGCGTCCACCTCCTCCTTGGTGCAGCTGGAGGTCCGCACCGGCACCCTGCTAACGACCGCCGGCTTCGCTGCCTCCTCGACCGGTGCGGCCGGAGCGGGGGGCGCCCTCTTCACCCCGTCGCTCTCCCCGCCGCTCGCCACCTCGGCAGCCGCGGCGGCGGCCGCAGCCTTGACCACGAACACCGTCCGCTTGTCCGCCGCCGGCTCCTCCGCCCTGGGCGCAGTGGCCTTCCTGGACGGCGCCGGCTTGGCCGTCGTCGGCGCCCTCTTCTCCTCCGTGGCTAGCGGGGCGGCGTCCTTGCCGCTCCTCTTGGCCGCATTGCGCGGCTGCTCCTCTTGCCGCCGCTGCTGCTTCTTGCTGAGGCAGAGACCCATTGGCTCAGTGACGGATCCGGGACCTGGGGCTTGAGGGTGGAGCGGGGGCGGTGGTGAGGGTGGGGGTGGGCCGGAGTTGAGCTGAGGTGGTGTCCGGCGTTTGAGCGCACACAGGACACGGCTTTGGGGCGAGTGGATTACAGTAAAGTGCGCCTCGGAGAGTGTGTTTTGTACTAGTAGTGGCTGCTGGCAATGGCAGTGGGGTCTGGTGAGCGAGAGAGGGAGCTCGAGGGGATTTCAAAATTTTGGGGCTGTTCCGAGCGTCGGGGACTGTGCGCGGCCCGAGCGGCGCACGGTGCGCACAGGAGAAAGCCGTTGTGGGCACGCCGAATGGTTCCGCCCACTACCTCTGGTTGTTTGTAGCCGGGTCGATTCAAATTGAGACCCGGCATTTTCTATTTGTATATGTGTGTATTTTTTTGAACGCAAAGAATCGACCGTTGTGTTGGGAGCACGTCCAAAGCTATGTGTCATGATGATTCGAGTTTGGCTGCAGCAGCGGTAGCAGCGTCGTCATTCTTCCTTGGCCTCAACGGGGAGAGAATCTCGTCTTCACGTGTCATGGAGAATTGAACTGCAGCTGGTGAGTACGCACGATGTTTCTTTTTCGAATCATATCCGGATAGAATGGACCATGCGTCCGTGTCCGTCACCCTTGATCCGTTGACCCTGGCTCAACATTTGACCGCGCATGCCACCGTCGCAACGCAAACGTCACCTCCATCTCGTACCCAACGGTAAAGCCTCGCACTGGCGACCAGGGCGGTTTGAGATTCAAAATACGCGGTATTTTCGACCAGCGGAATCCAAAGTTCAGAGCACGCAGCAAAGACAAAAGTACGTGGTATTTGATCAGTGCGACTGCAGCGGGGGGCCTACCGCACTGTCACGGAACAACCAAAGCTGGAAAGCTGGAGTAACAGCGAACGAACAAAAGGCCCTCAGCAGTCGGCACAGGAGCCAAAGGGAGCTGTCTCGTGTCCCAGCCCTTTGCATCTCTACTACCTTGATTTTCATTTTTAACACAAACGGTAATGGCCGAAACAGTGACAATAATGTATGGCTGGAACTCTTTTAAACCGGTGTCTGACGATTTTTTGTTGTTCAAACAAATTGGTATTTTTTTTTTTGCCATGTTTTATCATTGATCAAGGAGAAGAGGTTTAATTACAGACAAATACTGACCGTAGCCATACAAAGGAGTACTGCTTGACCAGTCGGAGAAAGGGCGATTGGCCGTGATGCGCTTGCCCTTCCACACACCGACATACTGCTTGACCACACCTTCCATGCCGCGGAGGTCCAGGTTCGGCGCCTTGGGGACGTGGTAGACGCGGACCGGCGTCGTGACGTGCACGCGCTTGCCGAGCTTGGGCGCGGCCGTGGCCTCCTCATCCGCCACGTCGGGGGACGGGGATGGGGATGGGGACACACTGCTGACGGCAACCTGGCGCGCGGTGCGGAGGCGCGCGCGGCACCGTGGTGGCGCGAGGCAGCACGCGGCTGTGGAATTTGGAGGGAGGGGTCGGCGGAGGAGGAGTGACGAGGAGGTGGAAGGGGCGGTCGCGGCGGTGGCGGTTGCCATCGGGGAGGTTGGTGAGTTGGCGGGCGTGTGGGGAATTGCGTCGAGCAGGCGGTGTGCACGTGAAGGTGAGATACTTGGCGCCGAACGTGGAAGTTTACTCACCTGGGATTATGACTCTAAGGTGATATGCCCCTACTTCAATACAAAAGTGTGTGCTTCTTTCTTGATGTTGGAGAAGGCAGTGGTGGGCATCGTGAAGGTGTTCCGAGACCCTAGCATTTTGTTTGTTCCAAACTTTTCAAGAGGCATGAGGATTAGAGCGGTGGATTTTGAAAGGTTGTCATTGCGGTATGAGACCACCTAACACCACTCAATGGCGGGATAGAAGCATTGCCGGGAAACAGTGTTGAGGTCGTGTCAACCGAGCCAAAATTTGATCATATTCTAAATCCATGTGGAGAAGCGGCATTTGAGAAGACGGTAAGCCACCGTCTCCAGACCACGCTTGCAAAGTTGACAAACCTCACAAATTTGGCTAACCCTACTTGGCTAACATGTCCGCTCTCCAGACCCGGTTTTGGAGATTAGCCACATAGATAGCTTGCGTTTCACGGGTGCCCAAGGCTACCACATGGCAGATTTGAATATAGTCGACGTGGTACCGACAAATTGGGTGCGGTAGGCCGAATTAGCAGAATGGGACAAGTTGGCAGTGGGTTTCCAAGCAATGGAGTCCTCAACCCCTTCATGAAGGTTGAAATGTTGGAGAAGTGTTCAAAGTTTGAAGAATTTGTTGATGTGCTCGGTCGTCATGCCATTGGAAGTGTCGACTTGGTCTATCCAATAGTTATGTTGAAGGCTGAGCTTTACATTCCATTTTTTCTTCTTGGAAATCTCGTGAATAAGCGAAGCCATGTTTCCCGAGCATTGATCCTCAAGCATGGAGAGTCCCAAAATTCTATCTTATCAATTTCAATGGTAACCTTGGCCAGGGAGTGGAAAAGAAGCATGTCCTCCCTATTGCATGTGTTCCCAAGCCCCACCAAGATTTTTTTCAGCGATGTCCACTTTAACCACAACCATTACAATCTCAGAGCATGAGAAAACTTGTCTAGGTGGAGAACCCCAACCCACCCAGATTAGTGGGCTTGCACACGGTCTCCCATTCGACCTTGCATCATACACTTTTTTCTACATGAACATTAGAGCAAGTGGTCTACTGTATTTTTCATATATGCAACAAAAATACCATATTACATTAGGTAGATCAGGTCACATCTCCACGAAAGTCTTCTTTCTCCTCTCTTTCAACCCAGGCAAATAGGTGACGACCGATATCCCCACTCCCCCATGAGACCGAGGGTCCCCCCTGTAAGAGCATCTTTTGCCTTAGGGTTTTGGTGATGATGACAACACTCGTGGACTAATCGTGCACCATAGTTTTCTCAGGTACACTTTGTGTGGCGCAAGACGGTTAGGTTTCCCTCTGTGCAGAAAAGATCGAAGACGGAGTCTCCGACATTTTATTTCCTTTGGTCGTAGGATATCCGTACTATTAAGAGAGAATCCGCATCGGAAAGTATTGGGTGAATCCTTCACGTACACATTCTCTGCACCCACCATATACCCTCCGTTCGAGGAGAGAGAGGTTCCCCATCCTTTGTTCTGTGCAGTCCTGCTCTTGACGGTTGTACCGGTTCCTTGAGCGGTTGTACCGCGGCCGGTAGTTCCGGTCTTACCACCGCCTGTTGTACCGCTCTAGGGTGACTCCCTTCTGTACTGGGTGCGGTTGTAGACCGATGGTGGAACGGTAGTTCCGGTTTTCCTTGATAAACAAGTACTACCGGTGTTCACGGCGGTTGTACCACCTCAGACCCCACCGCCCAGGAACAGCTGGCGCAGCGGTAGTTCCGGTCCAACCTCCGCTCCAACTACCGGCATGTGGAGTTTACTTTGTGTATATGGCCCGGTAGTTGAGCGGTGGTTGTGCGGTAGTTCCGGTTTGTTTTGATAAACCGGTACTACCGGGTACGCCACCGGAAGTTCCGCTCCCATGCGTTTCTGCACATAACGGTTGGATCTTGGGGGGCCTATTTAAGGAGGTGCTTCTCCTACCTCCCACCTACCTCTTGCCTCTCTCTCTCCTCCATTATTGCCATTAAAGCTCTCTTGCCCGATCTCTCTCTCTCTCTAGCTACTCAAACTCGTTGATTTGCTAGGGATTGAAGGAGGAGACCGAGATCTACACTTCAACCAAAGGATATCTGATTCCCCATACTTTCTTGTGTGGATTTTGTTACTCTTGGGTGCTTGGGCGCCCTAGATGGAAGAGGTCACTTCGGAGCCACATTCCATTGTGGTGAAGCTCCGGGGTTTCGTTGGGAGCCTCCAATTAAGTTGTGGAGAGAGCCTCAACCTTGTTTGTAAAGGTACGGTTGCCACCTTCAAGGGCACCAATAGTGGAATCAAGGCATCTCGCATTGTGTGAGGGCGTGAGGAGAATACGGTGGCCCTAGTGGCTTCTTGGGGAGCATTGTGCCTCCACACCGCTCCAACGTAGACGTACTTCCCTTCAAAAGGAAGGAACTTCGGTAACACATCCTCGTATTCACCGGCTCCACTCTTGGTTATCTTATGCCTTTACTTGTGCAAGCTTATCTGTGTTATATCCCTTTCTTGCTTGTGTGCTTGTTGTTATTGCATCATATAGGTTGCTCACCTAGTTGCATATCTAGACAACCTACTTTGATGCAAAGTTTAATTTGGTAAAGAAAAGTTAAAAATTGTTAGTTACCTATTCACCCCCCTCTAGTCAACTATATTGATCCTTTCAATTGGTATCAGAGCCTCATCTCTTTATTAAGGACTTTGTCGTACGAAGAGTATGGTTAACACCGTAGATGGTGGGGAGGAGCACTCCGGTGTGAATCCGAGCTCGTCTATGGTCGATGGGGGAACCGCGGTCTCTCTCGTGAGGAATTCAATGTGGCTTTGGACACATTGAAAACCTCCATGACGACCGACGTTGAAAGCATGTTTAATAAATTCTTAGAAGGGCTTAAATTATCCACTGCACCGTTGAAAGTGGGTGATACCACTAACAAGGTGACGGATCTAACTCCGACAAGGGGAAGCTACTAGTGAAAAGGCTCCTTATTCTAGTGGTAAAAATGGCGCCGACATCTTTGCCCATGTGGAACCTCCACTTGTTTATGGTGGACCGATTCCTTCCACCCATTTGAATCATGCCGGTCCTCCCCCTAAGATTGTGAAAAATGAGGACTTTGATTCTTGGGTTTATCGCTTCAAGCGTCATTTAAATCATGTGAATACTAATCTTTGGAGAATCATTGAAGAAGGTTTCTATCCACATGACCGAAGCAACTTCACCCCTAGAGAAGCCGTGGATAATCAATTCAATGAGAATGCTCTATTCATCATCCAAGATGCAATTCCACCCGAAGATCTCCCTCAT